TTTCTGTTGACTCGCCAAGTTTATAGCCAAAAGGGCATGTTGTGTCGTTCTTCGCATGAAGTGCTGACAAAAATGGCGGCTCGGTTGCTCGAGGTAAGAGGTCGTCTTCCTGTATCATTCTTTTTCCTGTTTACTTGAAATGTAGAATTTCTGCAAACATTTCCTTTTAAATTTGTTTGTCATAAATAAACTTCGATTTTTGAGCCAAAATTTTCTTCTTAGAAAACGCTGAGTTCACGAAACGGCTTCTTCTACGCGAATACACGGGAGTTGTAAACAATCCATCGAGCACAAAACTCCTGCTACAGTAAATTGAAAAACGCCGTATTGAATCCTTCCAAGTCTTTTCTTGCCTTAAAAAAAGTCAGCCCTAGGATTTTGTCGACTTTTAAAAGATCGTTCTCTAAAAAAAACGGGAAAAACACCGAGCTCACACATTATCCACTCGCTAGGTGGCTAGGAGGTGAATATTGTTGAATAGTCCGAGATAGCGAACCAATCAGATTGCTTAAATCACCAAGATCACTGAGTGTGTATATACTAATATGACATGTTATATGACATATGTTCAGAACAGAACAGAACATGTTATATAACATATGTCATGTTATGTTATATGACATATGTTGAGAACAGAACAGAATATGTTATATAACATGTGTCAGGTTATGTTATATAACATGTGTCATGTTATGTTATATAACATGTGTCATGTTATGTTATATACCATTATGTCATGTTATGTTATATAACATATGTTATATTTAACACATATTTAATTCCACGAGGGCGCGTTGGATATGAGATAATAGATAGCCAACGAGGCGCATAGCGCCGAGTTGGCTATAATCATTTCATATCCAACAAGCCCGAGTGTAATGCAATTCTAGCATTTTGGTTGGCTTAGCCATTATGGTATATGAGCCATTATACCATGCTCTCCATATATGGTCGGTGTGTGCGTCAGTTTAAAATTGGAAGCTAGCTGAGATTTTTTTTCGCGAAGGATAGAACCGAAGCAAATCGTTTTAATTCATTTCTTAGAATACTAGAAATGCAATTTCATCGAAAGAAAAAAGACAAAAACAAACAAAAAAGCCACAAGAGCTTGCTTGAAAGTCTAAATTACCTTGACCAGCTACGAAAGAAGACAAATGTTGTTTCTTCATGATCGCGAAGCCATTCGCCGATCGAGTCACTCGCCGATAGATAACTGTGGCTTCAGTCTGTGGCTTGTTTATCCGACATCAAGAATATAAATCACAAGTAACCAGCTACAAATACAGGCTATGCAGCCATTCACTAGAGCAATCGAGGCGGTAGTATAGCTTCTTTTCTCGTTCAGCAAAACCAGCTTGTGGCTTCAAACAACTTCATAACAAGCGACCGAGGTAATAGTTTTTCTCCGTTGTTCTTACTTTTATAACTGCACCGAAAATCCAAATTTACACTAATTTCGACGGCTGTCACTTAAAAATTCTTTTCCTTCACGTTATCTGCCAGGTTTTTTTAGCTGTTCTGCTGGGTAAAATCCTAGAATCCCGATGAGCTTTTTAAAAACTAATGTTCATCGCCACAATGTTTTGATTTTTCATTCATGCAGTCCAGGCGAGTCCGTTCCCGCGTTGACAGTTTTGATAGACGTGTGACATGTGAATAGCGGAAGTCCCTTGTCTTTTCCGGTTTGTTCTAGTCGGGGAGATTCAACGAGATTTTGTGGGCGTTTTTAATAAAACAATTATTTCACTCCGGCTTGTTGGATATGAGATGATTATAGCCAACTCGGCGCTACGCGCCTCGTTGGCTATCTAACATCTCATATCCAACGCGCCCTCGTGGAATAATTGTTAAATGTAACATGTGTCATGTTATGTTATATAACATCAGGAGCCCATCAAATGGAGCCTCCATCTCCATTAATTTCTTGAGTCAACCCTTTCCCGAGTAGATTTATAAATAGAACGGCTTGTTTCCCGCGAAAAGTGTCATATTTCCGTGAGTTTCGTATGTCACCGTGAAAAAAATGAAGTTGGATGAAGTCGAACTCATTAGCCCGTCCTTCGACCGTTTTCCTTTTTTACTATACGTCCATTTTTACAATTTTACAGCTGCTGGGATCTGGGTATCATAAAATAAAAGTTAATGAATTACCCGACTGAGACTGAGCATGAAGCGATGGGACAAAGGCAGCGAACTGAGGGTCACGGAAAGGTTATCTTTGCGAGTGTTTTTGTTTTGTTTTTTTTTTTTTGCCGCTTTACATCCCACATTTAAGCATGCACCTTGAAAAGAGTCGATGATTAAGCGTTCTGTGGTCGATTTGGAACTTTTCGATGATCAGCGCCGAAAAAGTGCCAGGATCATTTGATTTTTGTCATCACCATGGAGTGGATTTCGCCAGTTAAGCACCGCATGCAAAAGCATGACCTAAGTAGCAACTAACGAGGAATGCTTCAGTTCCGAAATTTGAGAAATTGCAGTCTTCCTTTACAACTGACTT